AGTCAATCTCCCAATATCCTCCTCGGTCGTCAAATCATTGGCTACATTCTGCTCTTCTCCATTAACTTCGTCCGCTCCACTCGCACTGTCGACTTTTGTATTATTAGCACATTCAGAATTATCATTTTCATCGGCATTTATCCTTTGCAGGGGAGAATTTTCTCTTTCATCTGGTAACTTTGTGCTCAGCTTACTATCCAATAAGACTTTCCTCATCCTAAAACGTACATTTTAACAAGTGTTCAAAAACAGAAGACTTCTGAACACTAAAAAAGCTGAAAACAGTAAGAGAATAAAAAAAAATGCTAACTTATTCAACCGAAGCAAAACTCGAATAAAGTCTGTTACAGATAATATACCAACAATAGCATTGTCTTTCTCTGCATCGGATAATAAAACATGTCGCGTGTCTGTAAAAAGAAATAACTAATGCAAAAAGGTACAAAACAAAAAAAAATTCTAACTTTTATGTGCAAAAAATACAGATTATCAGGATCTGTTAGATGAAGCATTCCACAGAAGCCAAGGCATATCAGCGTAGACCACCGGTGGGCAACCGGCCCGAGGCCAGTTTTAATCCGGTCCGTAGAGGGAATAAAAATGTACTGCTTAACCAGACGCACGGGGCTTTGTACTCCCCCACGCCTTTGTACTCTCATAAAAATAAACACCAAGGCGCACCAGAACAGCCGGTGCGATCACGCGTTTTGTGTAGTTCCGTCCATCGAACGATCACGTAACGGCACGTGAAAGTGGATTTGAAACCTGGAAGGACGAATATTCTGCCAAAATTTCAATTTTCTAATTTTCTGGCTTTCGAAAGACCTCTGAGACAAAACTTTCACATGGTCGTACATGAGACCTCGGTAAACTCAGAGACTGGATTCGAGTTTGTGAAGCCCCTGCTTAGGCAGGAAACATTCTCCAGAAATTTTCAGCCTCTTACCTCTTTTGGTCCTCGAGATAATAATTTTACTCGCCGAAACTTCCACAGAAATGTTGAAAGTTTGCGGAATTGTACGAAGGCAAGGGATGTCACGCTAAAATTTCAACTTTCCAGCTTTTGCAGTTCACGAGATAATAATTTCTCTAACAAAACTTTCACGGGGTCATACGTGATACTCAAGGGTGCATGAAGGTTGAGAAAAAATTTGCGGGGGTTGCATGCTGATAGGGAGCATTGCCCTAAAATTTCAGACTTCCAATCTGCGTGGTTTCCAAGATAATAATTTACCCGCCAAAACTTTCACAGGGCCGTAGGTGGTACCCGAGAGCGAGAGAACGCTGAATTTGAATTTGCCAGGTCGTGCGTGAGCAGACAGTCATTACTCTAAAATTTTAGCTTCCTAGATTCCATGGTTCCCGAAATAATAATTTGCCACTCAAAATTTTCACAGGGCTGTAGGTGATACCCGACAGTGCAGGGAATTGAGTTTGAATGTGCAAGGTCGTACGTGGACAGGGGACCACTGTCCAAAAATTTCAGTTTCCTAGATTCCGTGGTTCCCGTGAAAACAATTTCACCCACCAAAGCTTTTACGGGACTGTACGTGTTGCTCGCGGGCAGTGGAAGACTATGTTTAAATTTCCTGGGTCGCATCTGGGCAGGGAACATACCCAGAAAGTTTCAGACTTCTAGCTTCCATAGTTCGTGTGACAATAATTTTACCCGCCAAAACTTTTACGGGGCTGTATGCTTTATCCGCTGGTGCAAGGAGGTTGAATTTAAATTTGCGAAGGTCATACGTGGGTGGGGAACATTCCCCCAAGTTTCCAGCCCCCTAGCTTTGTGGTTTCCGAGTTGAAATTTACAATTCGCTGCGGACACACACACACACACACACACACACGCACACTCACATACACACAAACACACACAGGCAAACCCGTGACAAATATGCGTTTTGTGCAGCTGTTGCACAGCAAAAAAATGCATAATACAATTAAAATACGCAAGAGGCTAACAGACGACAGTCTGGAAAATACTTTGAGACTCCGTTTTCGCTGCACAATATGCGTTTTTACTCACTGCTAAAGTGAGTAAAAACGCATATTGTACAGAGAAAACAGAGTCTGAGCAAAAACGCACATTGCTGAGAGGTTGTCTATGTGTGTGTTTGGAAGCGAGTGAACTTTGTCACCCAATTCCAGCTCAGTAACCAGGAAAGCTGGGAGACTGAAATTCTGGGGGCATATTCCCATTCTATGCGTCACCCTTTCGTTTTAAAAACTTCCCTCATACGCCCCTAGATTTTGCATACGGAACCCCAAAAAAATATGCATATTTCCATGGCGGGCAAGAAAAGCCTAAAACACAGGCACATGGGTTGTGCTAGCTAAACTGTAAAGCAATAACTATTAACGATCTGATGTGTCAAATTTAACGCAAAACACATGATCGCACAGCAAACCTGGTGCGCTGTTACCTGACTTTTATTGAAAGGTAGTCCTCGAACCTAAATAAATATGTAAATCAGGTCCGCGAGCTGCCAAAGATTACCCATGCCTGGTGTAGACAAATGAGAGGGTGAGAACTGGAAGAAGATGAAGTAATAAAATGGCATACGTAGTCCAGGTCCAGTTCATTCTACTTACTTTGGTAAATAAGTCCATTGAATGCTTTTTTGAGCTGCAGATTGGTGTCGAAGACGACCATTTTCGAACTCGTTGGCATTGCTTCGTAGCATGAGTTGAACTGCATCAAGCGAGCATAGTTCAGCTCCGATTCCGGACTGACCTGGATGTGAACATCCGAGCTAGGGCGTGAAGTCGCAGCAGACAAAGCCGACTGCGGGAAAAGATCACGTTTACGATGATGCGATGTCATCTCGTCAACTGAGACGAACCTAAAAAACATGTTGAGTAAATCAACTTATTTACAGATTTCCGGAACTATCGATCTCTTAAATCCACAAATTAGAAACCGACCAATGTCGCCTGAATTGTGAGCCTTCTTATTTGTATTTATTAATATCACTGATCAGAGGCCACTACTTATAAATATTTGGTAACGGTGCATAAAAACCTTATTATATATTCGTTTCTTTTATCTCGTTTTTAATCGTATTTTTGGAATGCAACTGCAATCGCAGATGTTGCACTTTTTTTAGTTTTGCTTTTCAATCCCTTTTTTCAACCCCCTTAAGAACCCTTATTTCCACTTTCTCTTTTCCCATTTCCCTTTACTCTAATTACCATTTTTATGCGATTTTGCAGCGCAAGAGTGCTGCAAAAGGCAGCAAAAACGCATACTGCGACGACCCTGTCAGTGTGTGTGTGTGTGTGTGTGCGTGTGTATGTGTGTGTGTATGTGTGTGTGTGTGTCTGTGTGTGTGTGTGTGTTCGGGTATTTCAACTCGCCAACCAAGCAAGCTTTGAAGCTGAAATTTTATCAGTGTGTTCCCCAGTCAAGTGCCACCCCACTATCGCGGTATCAATTCTCACGCACGTCTAGGCCCCACGTACGAGCACGTGAAAGTTTTGGTGGGAAAATTACTAACTCGAGAACGAGAAAAGCTAGAAAGTTGAAACCACAGGCAAATGTTCCCTACCCGTGTACGACAAAAAAATTTCAAATTTAGCTGCCCAGGACTGCCTCGAGGCATACGTACGGGCACGTGAAAATTATGGTGGGAAAATTCATAACTCGGGGACGGGAAAAGCTAGAAAGTTGAAACTGCGGAGGAATGTCCCCTACTCATGTACGACCAAAAGTTTTAAAAATCAGCTCATTAGAACCGCCCGGGGCTTACGTACGGGCACATGAAAATTTTTGGCGTAGAAATCACTAACCCGGGAACGGGAAAAGCTAGACAGATGAAACTTTCGGGGAATGATTCCTACTCATGTACGACCGAAATCACGTGTTTAGAAGCACACGGAGCCCACGTACGGGCACGTGGAAATCCTGGCGCGAAAACCACTAACCCAGGAACGAAGAAAGCTTGAAAGCTGAAACTTTACGGGAATGTTCCCTACTCATGGACATGCAAAATCAGGTATATGGAAGCGCCGGGGGCCCACATACGAGCGCGTGGAAGTTTTGGCGTGAAAATTACTAACCCAAGGACGGGGAAAGGCTAGAAAGCTGGAACTTTAGGGTAATGTCCCCTACTCACGTATGACCAAAAAGATTTCAAATTCATCTCCCTCAAACTGTCCGACACTCACATATGGACACATAGAAATTTTGGTGGGGAAACTGCTAACTGGGGAACGGTACAAGCTGAAGGCTTTAACTTTAAGGAAATGCCAAATTAACTCTTCTAGTGCGGCTTTTTTTGCGGAACAACAACTTTCCATCTGTCAGGTCAAAAGAGTCGGCACCTACAACTGAAATACCACGTAACTACACAATTAACTTCCCGAACTTCGAGGGCCAGTATGTCACAGGGTTAGCTACTGTGATTCCTTCCGATCTTGCTACGGCACGAAAAGTGCAAAAACGCATAATCGCACCGGCCCGTCTGGTGCGTCCCAGCCTGGGTTATATTTTGTTACATTTTCAACCCTTCCAAAAAAGCTATCACATCCTCTGTTGGGGCGGTTCTTACTTCCCTTTATAAACCATTCATCCCCCTATCCGGGACCTTTTTGGGATTTTCGACTCGACCTCGTGTAATACACTTCTGGGCCTCATCTAATCATCGACCATTCCCTGCTTCAGCATCTCTTGCTCGGCAAGCCCACAGGCTCGTTAGATTCCAGCGCCACACTTCCTGCTGTTTATTTGCTCTTTGCACGATTCATCATCAGTAAGTCATAAACTTGATTTTGTTTCTCTACAGTGTGTGTACACTCAGAGCACCACGCCACACGACGATCCACCATACTAGTTCACCCCCAAGTCATAAAAATTTTTACTTACTTCTCTTCGAATAAATATTTGCTAATTACACTACCCTGCGCGCTCAGTGAAATCGAGGTTCTTTCGCGAACAGCCTCAGAACGCCCACAGGATGCGAACTCTAAACTATCATATGACAGAAATTTAGTTCCGAAATATAAACCACTACAGCCGAAAATGCACTGCAAAAAAAACCAATGATTCTAACTTGCTGTGCATTTTTGGAAAACTCTCGTTGCTTGGGTTTAAAAAAAGGACAGCAGACAGTGCAAATTAACTCAACAATAAGCTTATAGTTGAGTGAGTGAAAAATTTCAAGGTTATTTTCCTCGCTATGCCGCCTGTTAATCCTGTTAAAGCTGTCCCTTAATTTTCTCCATAAAAAAAACACAAAATATCGGCAGTAGTTCCAGCTGACTCCCACATCTTTTATACTTTAGGTAATTTTTTTTTTTTTAGAATTTAGCCATACCAGCCCACAAATTAACTAGCAATGACTTGCAGGAGTTGTTCCAGCGGTGTATCCACAACGTGGCCTTTTGGGTTATATGATTTTATGAGCAGTAAAATCAGTGCTCATGCTAAGGCAACAGTTTTAAGCAGTGGCGCCACTATAAGTTGTGACATTTTATTATTGTTGACCGCCGCTTAAACAGTGCTTTGTTTTTCAGTTTTATGTGCTCGTTTGAATCTGACTTTGTGTCCGGGGGCTTTCCAACTCTTTTGCTAGCGTAATAAATATTAGGGCCGGAGATACGAGATCGGTCTAAATATCATATGTAATAAAGATAAAGGAAGCAGTTTTCGTTTCACGGGATTGTCTCTGTGTGTGTGTGTGTGTGCCCGCAGCAACATGTCCGCACTTTCAACTCGGGAACCACAGAAGCTGGGAGGCTGAAAATTTAGGCGAACGTTCCCCACCCACGTGTGATCCTGCAAATTTAAATTCAGCCTTCCCGTACCCGCGGGTAACACGTACGGCCCTGTAAAAATTC